TTTAGCTCGATTCATGAAGTGCGAGCTTGGGTTATTGATTGGAGGCTTTTACTCTTTCCTAGCGGAAGCATTCAGTGCCGTAAAACTTCCTCTCCACTGTGCTTTACCCACGTCCCACAAACTTGGATGTGTTCTGTTTTTGTTTCCTTTCCCTTCTATATATATATTTTTTTTTTTAAATTTCCCTTGAGATTTCCTTTTTGACCCGTGGATTACTGAGAAGTGTGTTGTTCAGTCTGCAGGTGATGGCAGATTTCCCTCCCGTCTTCCCCTCCCTTTGCTCTCTCTGTCTCCCCCTCTCCCTCCTGAAGACCCTCACCCCGATGCTGCTGCCTTCTGCCTGGGTTCTGATGACCCTCCTCCCACCATCCCTGAGAACCAGAGGGTAATTCTTTGCTCTGCTTTAAAAAAAAATTATTATTATCATTTTTATCCTGACCCAAGGACATGCTTAAAGAGAGGGGAAGGGAGGGAAACCGAGAAGGAAAGAAACATCAATCAGTTACTTCTCACTCTCGCCCTGACTGGGAACCGAACCTGCAACCCAGGTATGTGCCCTGACCAGGAATCGAACCCATGACCTTGCGCCGTACAGGGTGATGCTCCAGCCAACTACGCCACACCAGCCAGGGCTCCTCTACATTTTCACTTCCTCATTCATCCTCCCTGACCTTCCTCCCCACCTGGCCCTCTGGCCCAGAAAGAGCACAGGACACCGGGGCCTGTTGTCACCTCCCTCCCTCACTTTCTCTCTCCCAGAGTCACCAGGAGCCACGGGCTCTCCATCCGTCAGGCGTGAAGTCTTAAGCTCACCCTGTCCCTGCCAGACAGTGTGATTTCCGACCTTATCGCCTACCCAAGTCTCTCTCAAAGAGCCTTCAAAAGCTCCACGACTGGAACTCAGGACACTGCCTCACTGCTCTTTCCACCTGCCCTGAGCCTGGATATCAGGGCCACCGTCCTCCTGAAGACCGTGGTGTGGCTGCCCCGCCCCCGCTGCTCCCACTGCCCCCCTGCGGCTGGCTGGCGCTGGAGACCAGTCTCAGGGCCGGGCAGGGTGGGCGGGGCCTGCTCTTGGTAGCTTTTCTTCTGTGTGATTCTGTAAGTGATTTTAACAGTGTGATGCACAGGGGGTGTGCATTTCACTGTTGTGTACATGCTGACACACCCGTCACCGATTCACCCTCCCACCGGCCATGTGCGAGGGGCACGACTTCCTGCACCCCTGCAGGTGGGAGATTTAAGTTTTACGAATCTCCTCAGATTCAAAAGCGAAAGCGTTTCAGTTTGCCTTGTATTTGTTTGATTGATGTGGGCGGCTGGGGGGTGCATTTCTCCTTCCGTCAGCAGCTGTCCCCGCTGGCCTCTTCGACCAGCGAGCGTGGCTTTTCGCTCGGCCCTCCCTCTGGTCCCTTTTTCTCCGGAGTGACCGAGCGCTGGTCGGCAGGCAGCGCTGCATTCCTTCAACAGCCGCAGCGTGATGGTTCGGCTTATGTGTATTATGAAATGACCGTCGCAGTAAGTTTAGTTAACAACCCACCATCTCTTATAGGTATAAAAAAAGAAAAGGGGAGAGAAGTGCCTTTATTTTCTCGTGGAGAGAACCCTTAGGATTCACTCTCTTTGCAGCTGTCACACACACCCCTCGGCCGCGTTCACTGCGGGCATCGTGCGGGGCGTGGCATCCCAGCGCTCACTGAGGTCACAGCCGGGAGTCTGTGCCTGCGGCCCCCCTGCTCCCGGTCCCCCTCCTCCCAGCCGCACCTCTGCCAACCACACATCTCGTCTCTTCTTTCTGTGAATTCGTGTGTCTTGTTCTGTTTGGTTTGATTGTTTTAGAGTCCACCTAGAAGGGTGTTCACACAGCACGTGTCTTTCTCTGTCTGATTTATCTTATTTAACGTAACACCCCCAATCCAGCCCCATTGCCGCACATGGCGGGATCGCCTTATTTTTCATGGCTGCGTAATATCCCATCATGTGTGCGTGCAAACACCTGTCCACCACCGCATCTTCATCCATGGATTTGAGGGTGGGCACTCAGGTCGTTTCCGAGTCCTGGTTGTGGGCAATAACGCTGCTATGAATTTGGGGGCGCAGATATCTGTCCAACAGACTGTTTTCACTTCCTTCGGACATATTTGCAGGGAGTTGGATGGCTGGAGTGTAGGGTCCCTCCAGTTCTGATTTTTTGAGGAGCCTCCATGCTGTTTCCCACTGTGGCTGCACCCGCCTACAATTATGACTGTCTTTCTTTATCAGCCGTGTAAGCTGTTCGTCCATCAGGAAGTTTAATTTGCAGCTGGAGCATTGGAAATGACTTTTCCCAGTCTCTTTTTTATTTTGTGTATGTATATTGGTATTTTGCCATGGGCATGCATACTGAAAGCAAAAAGTATGAAAAGTATGCATTTATAATATACAACAATCTAAATAACAGAGAAATATACTAATCTCCCTGGTGGGGAAACTAAACTGAAGGACATCCATCTTCTCGGAGGTAAGTACATGCAGGCGGGGTTCATTGCATTGCCCTTGGCCTTACTGAGCTTTGCAGAGACTGTTTCATCAGCGTCCAGGCAGGACCCTCCACGGGCAAAAAGGCTGCAACTCGCTGACAGCCCAGGTGATGGCTAGCGTGGTTTAGCAACCAAGTGATTTTAAGGAAGGTATGCACATTTGCAGACATGATTCTACTGCGCACTTAGTGGACTCTAGAGTGGCATAAACAGAACTCTTACATGCACTGTAAAACAAAACAAAAAAATTGGTGTGACTCGATGTATTGCCCTATTTGCCTTATTTCTGTGGTCTGGCACCGACCCCAAGATACTGCCAAGGATGCCTGTGTGTACAGTACGTACAGTTTCCTGGGTTCTTGTTTTCACTGAGCCCAGATTCACAAACATCAGCAAGAAATGCTTGAAAAAGACTAGTAAGACCAAAAGTATATAGACAAGAGAGTCCATAGCCTTGGCACCAAAATGAAAAATCAAATAAAATTTGCTGAAAGAAAATGGAGATTTCACAAACAGCTTGACTGGTGGATGTATTTTAACTGAACGAGAAAGTGTGGGATCTTTAATAAGTATCTTGTCTTAGTCAATACCGTTGAAATAAAATAGAACTGGATGCCAGCAATATTGCATATAAATGAGTCCATTCCAGATGGGTTTTAAATCTGAGTGTAGGGGGGGCGATCAGATTATACAAATATCAGAGTAAGTTTCAAAGACCACCCAGGGAGGCCCTCTTTAGTCAGGTGGCAACCCCAGGATGACAAGGGACAAGATTAGCCAATTTGGTTACCTGGCCGTCCCTTAGCGTATTTCCTTTGGGTCTTTTCTATAAGCACATGCATTCGTTTTATGGCAGTTGTGTAGCTTTATTCGACCATGGGCAGTTCGTTCTCATCCACATCAACTGTTTGTAGATTTTTTAAAGTGGTGGCGGGTATGCAGGTGACCAATGCACAGAGCTCATTCAGTGAATCTTCACCCTCGTTATGTTTTCTGGACAATCTCACCCAGACAGGGTATGGGGCATTCCTTATTTTATATATAAGGTACTAAACCAGACACAGCTGAAATAAAATGACCCCAAAAAGGTGAAAATATAAAGGCATAGCCCTGGCTGGTGTAGCTCACTGGATTGAGCTCAGGCCTATGAAGCAAAGGGTCACAGTTTTGATTCCCAGTTAGGGCACATGCCTGGGTTGTGGGCCAGGTCCCCAATAGGGGGCGTGCAAGGGGCAACCACTCATTGATGTTTCTTGCCCTCTCTCCTTCCCTTCCCCTCTCTCTAAAAATGAAATAAAATATTTTTAAAAAACAAAACATAAAATAAAGGTGTAGCCACAACCATGACAAGCAGTAGTAAAAAGAAAGGGAAGAGATAACACACATGGCAGACAGAGTCCAGTTCAAGGTGGGAAGGGGTGCAGAAGAGCAAGATACTGTGCGCTGATGCGAGAGCCTGACCTCCAACGAGAGAGCGCGATCACGCTCACTTTGGAACGTTGCAGGCCCCCCCCCACCCCCCCCCCCCGTGCTGTGCTCAGGGAGGCTGCGGTTCATCTGTCTGGGAGGGAGGTGTCGGCTGGAGGTCTGCAGCCCTCCGCGGTTTTGGAGGGTGGGACAGGCTCTACCGAGGGCACAGGGCCGACAGGTGTGTGCCAGAGGCGCAGGCGGGATCCTCAGGTATGGTCATGCAGGGGAGCAGCCCCGTGCCCCCGCGGGGTGTGTGCCGTCTATGCAGCGCGCACGCGTGTGCCTGGACTTCCTCCTGTTAGCCGGGCGCTCGGCCCTGCTGGCTCAAGCCCCGCACGGCCGGCGGGGGAGGGACCTCAGGAGTCAGGAAGCTGTTCCTGATGCTCCAGGATGCTCCCCACTTGGACACCGCGGGGCACTGTCCTGGACAGCAGGGCGGCCCCCAGAACCCTCCGGCTCCCCACAGTGGAGCACAGCATGCCCCACGGGGACCAAGGCACGCCATCGCCCTGGACTCTGGGTTCCCTGCGACCACAGCTGGTCCGGGCGGGTGCTCTGGGCACCACAGCCTCGGTGAGGAGCGGCCCAGACTCTGACACCCGCACGGGCAGCCCCAGCGGGCTGTGTCGCAGGCGGTCAGAGTCGGGGTTCCAGCCGCCTGCTCCCAGCAGCCAGCATGTTCTCTCCCCCGGTGGCCTCCCTCAGTGACACTGATGAGACTTTTCCCGCTGATCCTAACTGAGCCCCGTCCTCCCTCTGCCTCCGACACTTGTGTCTGTTCAAAATTACAAGAGAGGGTGGGGTCATGCATTAGGGAAGGAGATTCTGGGGTTTGGGATCCACTCTCAAGACCATCACAAGTCGCTATTAAATAGTTAAAATCATTTAGGAATTTCCAAGGTTAATGGTTAGAGCTAAAGTATAAAAAAAATGAACTCTTCAAATGGAGCTATTAAGTTGTCACTTTGAAGAAAATGTGAACCTTCTCTTTCGTTCTGGTGGCCTTTTCCAGAATTCTCGGGCGGCGTCTCACATCTTCCACCGGGCGACCATGGGCCACGTCCAGCAGGGGCGCAGCGGCGCGGGCCCGGACGCCTGACAGCCCCGCGCCTCCGGGAAGTCGCCGCGTCTGAACGTAAGTGGACGACAGGACAGGTGATATTGGCATGCGCCATGTGTCAACGCTCCAGCCCACAGGCCCGCCTGAGGCAGAGGCCACGGCTCCCTGGGGTGGTGTCCCTGGCCCACAACACAGGAGCAGCCATGGATTCCAGAAATGGAGAGAGGGAGGGAGGGAGGGAGGGAGGGAGAGAGAAAGGAAGGAAGGAAGGAAGGAAAGAACATGACTGGGAGGAGAGAGATAAACTATCGTTTATTGAGGCTCTATTCTTTGACAATCAATATGGTAGTGTAGAGGCAGAGAGACAGATGGGCCGGTAGGTAAAAATTAGATGGACAGAAAGATGGACTGCGACGGGAGAGAGACACAGACACACAGGCAGAGGGAGTGAAGAAGGAGGGGAATAGATACGGACGGATGGGTGGAGGGACGGATGGATGGACAGACAAAGGCAGATCACCAGGTAACTACTCTGACCGGCAAGCAGGTTGAAAGACTGATATACACACAGATAATAGCAAGACAGACAGAAAACAAGACAGACACAAAACAGGAGAAAGGGAGGCAGAACGGCAGTGAGAAAAGCAGATATTAATATAAGTAGTGTGCTAGACAAACATATAATCAGATGGATGGACAGCCAGACAGACCAGAAAGAAAGATAGGCGGGCAGGTAGGCAGGCAAGCAGGAAGGTGAACAGGCAGAGATGCAGGTAGGTAGAACTAGAAAGGGGGAGATAAAAACGGACTCGATGATAGATAGTAGATTATATTTTTATTTGGCTTTAGTTAAGTTTAACAAAATTCTAAGAAAGACGGGACATGTTCCCCACATGTAGGTGAGGAAGTAGAGTGAAAGGGGTCGAGTGACTTCCCAAAGCCTGGGGCTCTGTCACCTGAGGGCACAGCAGGGAGTCAGCTGTCACACGCCAGGAACAGGCCCTCCCTGGACCTGAGTCCTAGGCCCCTCCACCTCAGACCTTCAGCCCCACCACCGCGGGCGAGAAGCTGCCAGTCTGTGGGGTTGTGTTGTAGCAGCGCGAGCAGAGCCAGATAAGCCTTGAAAAGAAACGAAACCCTGGCGGGCACTGCACCACCCAGAGGAGGAGTGAAGACTCTGTGTAGAGCTGGAAAAGCCAGCCACGAAGGGACAAATGTGATATGCTCCCCTCCTAAGAGGCTGCCAGAGCTGTCCAGCCCAGACCCAGAGGGCGGGAGGGCGGGTGCCGGGGCAGGGGCGGGGGAGGGATGGGAGTCCGTGCTGAGTGGGCACGGCGGTTCCCTCTGGGAGGCTGAGAAAGTTCTGGGGACGGATGGCGGGGATGGCTGCACAGCAGTCTGCATGCACTCGGTGCCACTGAATTGTGCACGGAAAAAGGTTAAAACGGCACATTGCATGTTGGGTATATGTTACCACAGTTTTTCCACACGCGTTGACATGGTGTTTTGTGGTAAGTCTCAGTGGTGAGGGGCACAGCTCTGTACTGTGACAGAGATACTCGCTGAAATGTGTTTGCTAAAATGAGGACAGTGGAGACCCCCCGCCCCACCTCGCAGAGCCCCCTGGAGGAAGGAGCTGGTGGCCGGCTGGGGGGCAGGGGTCTGTGGGCAGCCGTGTGCCGAGGGTGGTAGGCTCTGCCCCTGCGTAGCCTCCCGCCACGAGAAGCCAAGCCTTTGGCCTCTGTCCGAGGGTGCGGAGAATAATGTGTTTTCATTCTCTGATGTGCCCCCAGGTGGACGTGACCCAAGGAGAGGCTCCCGGCCGCCACCCTGGTGCGTGGAGAGAAGGAAGAAGGCAGTCTCCTAGTTGGTGCCGCTAACATCAGGTCCAGTAACGTTCCATTTTTTTTTAAGATTTTATTTATTTATTTTTAGAGAGGGAAAGGGAGGGAGAGAGAGAGGGAGAGAAACATCAGTGTGTGGTTGCCACTTGAGTGCCTCCTACTGGGCACCTGGCCTGCAACCCAGCCATGTGCCCTGACTGGGAATCAAACTGGCAACCCTTTGGTTCACAGTCCAGTGTTCAATCCACTGAGCCACACCAGCCAGGGCCAGTAACATTCTTATTTTCTAGCCACCCCAAGCAGCCATGACCCCCAAGTAGGAGCCTGGTGCAGGACAGTGCATGAACAATGAACATCTCGCAGGTCACCAACCTCCCCAGCTGGTTCCTGTCCCCAACACCTGCACCCTCCCTGTCTCACCCAGGCACAGATGGGCTCTGAGAGGTTAGCTAGCATGTCTCAGCTCATCAGAGTGGCAGCTCTGGGCTGCAGTGACACCAGCATCCTGGCTCTGAAGCAGGAGCGACAGCCCAAGGGTTATCTTGAAAGAAAGGACAGGACCCTCATGACTAGGATGGATTTAAATACCCCCTGCAGCACCTAAATTAACTACATAGTTACTTCACACCAGTGTAAGCTGTCTGTCATCTGGACTGGGTTCGGCACGCTCTGTAAAGGTCCAGATGGTAAACATTTGGGGATCTCTGGGCCTCATGGCATCTGTTCTAACTGCTCTGCTCAGCTGCATGCAAAGGCGAGAGGCAATATGTAAATGAGGGGGCGTGGCTGTGTCCAGTACGACTTCAGTTACAAAAGCAGGTGCCACCAATCTGCGCCCTTACCTCTGCAAACACAGGGACACATTTGCACTTTCTCAGCCATGACCGATGTCCACCAGTGGCCAGCCAAGTGCTGGGTCACCGGTGGGTCGCCCTCCCCGCGCTGTGCTGGGTTCTTTTCCCTGGCCCTGGGCTGGACAGCCTGTTACCTGGCATCAAGGTGCCTGTTGCATCTTTCCAGCCAGGATTGTCCGGCCCGGGACATCTGGCATCCTTTTGAGTCTCGTTGGAAGGTTGGGCCGTAACTAGAACAATTCTCGGAAAGATGGCAGACAGGGCGTCCTCATCAGTGGCGGTGTGGCATTTCAGCTGACTCGGGGCTGACAGACGGCGAGCCTTCCCTAGGAGCCATGGGCGGGCTCACCGATGAAGGCGAACTGGGGCGGATCGGGCAGTGCACGTACTCTGTGGCCGCGGTCCACGCCTGTGCAGCCGGAAGAGGGTTAGAAACCCCATGACCCGTAATGAACCACTCCAAATGTGCTCAGATGTCCATTTTTTTTTAAATCCGCTCCACCTTTTCAATGGGCCGCATTGGAATTGACAGAATGTCAGGTCAGACGTGCTGGACTTGATGTTTGACTTTGACTTCTAGCCCTTGGTGTCTCACAGGGAGAATCGGGCAGTTGTCCCAAACCAGCTCAAAAGCATGTCACAGCAGACGGCAGAAGGGGCCCCTCCCACCCCTGGGTCTCTGCCGGTTCCCGCCCCCACCCCGGGCACACCGTGACCTCTGCCTCTCTGGTCCTCCCTGCAGATGGATGGTTTCTAGCCTGCTCCCCAACCCCACCTCGGCCGAGTGTTGGGCGGCCCTTCTACATGGTCATATGACTCTTGATATGGACGCGGTCCTGTCCGACTTTGTTCGGTCCACGGGGGCAGAACCTGGTCTGGCCAGAGACCTGCTGGAAGGTAAGCGTCCCCCTCGTCCCCACGCCGCCCTCCTCGGAGCCACCCCAGTGATAAAGGATACGATTTCTGTCACCTGACAACAGGGCGGCACTTGGGCTCTTCAAAAAGTAAAGGGAGTCATTGGGAATGGAATTATTTTTGCTATTCTTGACTTCATGTTGGGATCCCTCAGCTCTCTGTGGGAAAAGGGCAGAAGGCACTAACTCAGCTGTGCTTTGTGTTAGCATGGAGAGATGAGGAGTCAAAACTGAGCAGTGATGACTTTTTTAGAGAAAATGCATTCAGTGGAGCAGAAATTAGAACATTCCAGAAACACTTTTTTGGAGACTTATGTTGCTCACCTCTATCTTAACTGAGATGAAAATACTTTAGGCCGAAGTTTTTGGTGGGGGGGAAAAACCCAGTAACCAGTGAAAAAGAAGGCAATAATTAAAAAGAAAAAGAAGGTAATAATTCACAAAGAGAAGGTAATAATAATTCACAAGTAAGGCAAAATTATTCATCCTTGAGCTTTTAGAGTCGATATCATTTGCTACATGAAAATGTGCACATCTATATGTAGATTACTCAGCTATAATCACAATGAACTAAAGATCAAAGTTTAATTCCTGTCTCCATCTCTTAAATGGATTTATTTTATGTAGTTTTGAAATGTTTTTTTTTTTAATGGCAAAGAGAGGCGCTGAGAAGAGCCTGTTACAACTTCTCAGGACAACAAAATGCATAAAAAGAAAAAAAAATGTTTCATGATTGCTCTTCACTTCAGACCTATAAACTGTCATTCATGGAACGAGTTACTCCTCGGCCAAGCATTCTAAGTCACAACGATTCCTTCATTCTCTGAGGAAAAGTGTGAATCATCATGCTTGTGTGTGGACCATGGAGGTAGCTGTTCAACCCCACTGAAAATCAGGAGCCACCCAGGATTCTGAGAAAACAGCAGCGAGAATAGCACAGTCATCACATTTCCCTGAACCTCCCAGAATTTCAAACAAACTTGGGGCTTAGCCGGTGCTTAGAGACTGCCGGAGAGGCATGGGAATCAAAGTCGGGTCCTCACGTCCTGGGCGTCCCACTGCGTGGTGCTTCCCCGACAGTGTCCCTGGCCCTTCTCAGTCTCAGTGCATGTGGGCAGGCAGATTTGGAATGCGTTGGCGGTTCAGGGTGGGGTCTGGTCCAGACTCCACTATGCACCTGCTCTGAGACACAGAGCAAATTATTTTACTTCTCTTATTTTAACCTGTTTTTTTTTCCTGTATCTTGAGCCTCGCCCACCTTCCAGGGGGTTAAAAAACCAAAGCTCATTCCCATAAACTAGAAGATCGAATTGGCTTTATCGAGATCCATGAATCAGGCAACATCCCCTCTAGGATCGTGCTTTGGGGTCCAGGCTAAGAACCTTTGTACAACCCAGGTCGTGAACATTTCGTCCCGTGTGGTCTCTTTAAAAGCTTTGTACTTTGGTGCCTTACACTTAGATCTCTGGCCAACTTTGAGGTGATTTTGTTAGAACAGGTAAGATTCGGGTCAAGGTTCGTGTTAATACATGTAGGACGGGGCCAGAGTTGTGAGTTCATGAGACACAGAGTTCATTCTTGTGTTATTATTGTCTCATTATTGTATTATTTTTCCATGCAGACAACTGTAAACCTACAGTTAAACCTACAGTTTACAGTGCTGATGTCCAATCAGCACCATTTGTTGAATATATTATTGCTCCTTCTTTCAAGGGCCTTTGTTCATTGGTCAGAAACCAACCGAGCATGTATCTGTGGGGATCCAGTCCTTGGTGTGGGTTCCGTTCCATTGGTCCGTCCGCTCATTGCTTTGCCAGTACTACACCGTCTTCATGACTGTAGCTTTGTGGTGCATCTTAAAACCAATTAGTGTGATTCTCCCAGCGCTCTTCTTTTTCAACTGTTCTGTTTCCTGTGCCTTTCCGTATAAACTTGAGGATCAGCTTACCTGTATCTGTAAAATTTTGTGTTGAGATTTGGATTGAAAATATGTTAAATTTACAAATAAATCATAGCCGTGTTTTGTTTTCTAATCCGTGAAGTCAGTACAGCCACACTTTCCATTTCTGAAGGGCTTTTGTGAGTTCCTTCCCAAGCAGTTTGTAGTTTTTCACATGTAGATCCTATACACAGTGTGTTGGATTCATAGCTCCAGGATTTTTTGAGCTATTATAAATAGCGTTATTTTTTAATTTTAGTTTCTACTTGTTCATTGCTAGTACAGAGAAATGTCATTGATGGTTTTTCTGTGTTGCCCACATACCCTGACATCTTGCTAAACTCGATCATTTTTTGCGTGTGGGGTGTGTGCATGTATGACCACATGCATGCATGTGTGTGTATTTCCTGGGATTTTCCACAGAGATAATCATGTTTTCTGTGGATATGGGGAGTTTTAGTTCTCCTTTTTCAATATGTATGGCTTTTATTTTTCTTGACTTATTGCATTAGCTAGGACCTCACTAAGAGGTTGGCTGGGACAGTGAAAATGAACGTCTCTGTCTTTTTCCTGACCTGGGGGAGGTATCTGGTTTCTCACCTCTGTGTAGGACGTGAGCCGTAGGTTTTTGTAGGTGCCCTTTCTAAGGAAGAGAAAATTTCCTTCTGTTTCTGGCTTATTGAGAGATTTATCATAAACACATATGAAGTTTGTCAAATACGCTTTCTACCTCAATTGATATAATCAAGTATTTTTTCTTCTTTAAACTGCTAATACAAAAATTACATTGATTGCTTTCTAATAATAAACTTGCCTTCAGCCACTATTTATTTAAATTTTTTCTCCTCATTCTGGGACTCAGATGACATGCCTTCCACAAGTTAGTGTTGTCCTGTAGGTTCCTACACACTGTTCATCTTCTTCTTCACTCTCCTCTCTGTCTGCTGTCCAGACTGGGTAATCTCTACTGATCTACTTATAAACGTAGGGACTCCTCCCTTTGTCCTCTCTGTTCTGTCGTTGACCCCGCCCACTGAGTTTTTTACTCTGGTTCTTGAATTTTTTTTCATTTCTAACATTTCCACATGCTTCTTCTTCATCTCTTCTGGTTTTTTGCTGAGACTTTCTATATTTGTCAAGAGTGTTCTCTCTTACGTGTTGGGAAAGATTTAGAATAAATGCTTTAAATTAAGTCTTCGTCAGATAATCCCACTATCACTTTCATCCCAGCATTGCTGTGAAGATTCCTCTGGTTTTTGGATGCCGAGGGAATTTGGACTGTATCCGAAACACTTTGAATATGATGTTTTGAGACTGGTGGCTGTTTAAATCTTCTGACAAAGACTGTTATTTTTGCTTTAGACAGTAACTGCCTCTGTTGGGTTCAGACCCCAAGCTCCATGTTCCCCGAAACCTCTGTGGTCTGTGGTTCCCAGGCGGGGGCCTCCCGTGAGCGCCATCCAGTGGCTGGGCTGGGGCCTGCGCGGTGGTCAGTCCCATCATTCACTCCTCCAAGTCTCTACTATCTGTTCAGGGTCCGAGCCACCCATAAGCAGCCCGAGTCCATCAACAACGTTAAGGGGTTTGGCTTCCCAAACTCCTGTCTCTATGAAACCCCCTCAGTAGCTCCGGGTCTCTGAGATGCAGCCCTCAGCCCGCAGTGGCCCCGCGCCGCTGCACCGTCCAACCTGGCCACGCCCAGCTGGAGCCCAGCAGCCCAGAGCCGGAGAGAGTGGCTCACCCCCAGGGACCACAGCCCCTCTGCAGGGGAAGCAAAGTTCCCCTGCCTGTCGGTTTTAATTTCCTGCCTCCACAGAACTGCTGGAGGTCTGGGACCCTAGAGAACTGGAAAAAAAAAAAATGCTTAACAGATAAAAGATAAATGCGACCACTCGACACTCTCTCTGGACACCGAGCCTGGCGGTTTCTCCGGGAGCGGACGCCCGCATCTGCGCACATCAGGGAGACGGGAAGGGAAAAGCGATTCTCGCCCCCAGTTCTGTGGCACTTGGAATCGTGGCCTTGCTCCCCGCGTGCCTGCTCGCGGTTACTTTTCTCGGTCCCAGGAGCTGCCTCTGCGTTCAGGCCCGGTGGGGCAGCTGCTTTCTTTCCGTGGGAGCCCGGGGTGGAGTGTCCTTACTGGGCGCCACCCGGCCCGGAACCCACCCTCCGCTTTCACCAGCAGGAGACCCCGCTGACACGTGTACCGTGGGCCCTGTCGGTTGCCACAGTTACCTGGGTCGGGATTTTACTAAAACCCAGCGTTTCAAAGAATGAAACCTTGTCCTCATGATCTTTCTAAGCGTAACCAAAAATCGCAATGATCCCGGAAGGGAGGTGAGAGGTATGAGGGCCCTCTCCGTGCTGGTTTTTAGGCTTTTTATGAGTGTTTTAAGTAGTTTACTGATTTTGAAAGGAAACGTTCCATGCTCTAAACTCAGTGTTTATATACAAAGTGTATGTGTTTACATACAATGATGGGAAGGACCGCACAGTGGAGAGGGACCAGAGGGGAGCCTGGCTGATGAAGGCTCTGGCTGAAGAGGCAGGGCAGGGGCAGCAGGAGAAACAGAGGCGGGGTCGGAGCCGGTGGACTCCGGTCTGCCCCCCAGGGGAGCAGGGGTGGAGGCAGAAGGCCCGTAGCCCTGCAGCCTCTGTGCTGGATGACCTGACGCTTTAATGTGCTTCTCTTATTCCCCAAGACAGTACCGAAATGAAACACTTCTGTGGTGTCTTTGCTCCTGACCGTGGAGGAAAAAAATATGGTTACATTGTGAATGATGCCGTGCTGTCATTGCAACTATCATAATCGACAGTATCAAGTCTGCCCTAGAAAAAAGCAGAAAGAAAGGGATAGACCAAAGGAAGCTGTTCGGATATACCTCACCCCTTCAAAGCCTCACTCTGCTCTCTGCAGCAAGCAGTTCTGCCTCTCATTAGTCAGCGCGGTTATTCCCTGCCATTCGAAGGGGACATCACCGGGACAGGCTACGATTTCTTTCACTCTTTCAGATTCAAGCAAGGGGTTGAATTCTTTGTCTTCCAAACGGACTCATGTGAGGCCTGATTCACTCAGGGGCAGGGTGGGGTGCCTGGTCGCTCCCGAGAGGAGTCAGGAGATCCAGCCTCACAGTAGCTTCTGTGGTGCTGCGAACACTCTGCTGCAATGCTGGGCCCCGGGCCCCTGCTGGGCGCGCCCGCGGGCCCCTCACCCAGTGCGGCGCCGGAGCCCTGAAGTCCCTCTCCAACTGAGGCCATGGCACCGAGTCCCTCCCAAGTGTATGGTTTTCCCATATGGAGCTCAAAAAAAAAAAAAAAAAGGAAGGCTCTGAGCAAAATTGGGGAATTCTTTTTATTCACTTTGTGACTTCCCATTTTGGTCCTCCCCAGAGGAAGCTCTACAGCTTGATCTCTGAAAGGGGTATGATAATTAGGAATGTCATGTGTCAGGAGTGTGTGTGTGTGTTAACCTGAAGGCTATGGGTTATAGCCTTGGATATAGCCACACATTTTGGGCGCACAACCGCCGTGGTGGTGAAATTCTACACTTAGAGGTTATGCGTGAAGTCACCGCATCCCTCTGACAACGGAGACCTAGTGTTGGAAAGTTCATCAGTCAAATGCTGAGGAGAATCCCCCCTTTGCACACTTATGTTCTACAGCAAGGCTGTCTCACGTGCCTTAACGCTGTCCCCTCTCGTCACTCCTTGTCCGCAGGCAAAAACTGGGACCTGACAGCCGCTCTGAGTGACTATGAGCAGCTGCGACAGGTGCACACAGCCAACCTGCCACATGTGTTCAACGAGGGCAGGTGCCCCAAGCAGCCGGAGCGAGAGCCAGCGCAGCCCGGGCACAAGGTGGAGCGGCCCTGCCTGCAGAGACAGGACGACATTGCCCAAGGTACTGGCGGAGGGGCGGAGCCCCGGCTCGGGGGTCCCCTGGGCCAGCACGCCATGGTCTGCGGGGGGGCTGGGGGCGCAAACAAGTGGCCTCCCGGTGGCCGACAAGTCCGGCTCGTCGCTCCTCACGCTAAGCTGATGTGTCCTCGGAAAAGCAGGGGAGTCGGGCCCGGGGGACAACAGGCCGGCCTTCCCAGGCCCAACGTCTCAAGTTCCTTCAGTTCTTCCCCTAGCCATTTGGTCGCCCCGTCTGTTCAGCACTGGCATTTACTGTCCCCTTTTGCTCACGGCCTCCATTCTTCTCTGCATTCCACCAGCAAGATCTGCCCATTGTGACAAAGGACACAACGCAAAGATGTGGAAAGCAAATCGTTTCCTTCTCCCTACCACCCCCGCCCCCTCTCACGAGAGCCCCGACCAGCGATCAGGCCCAGGCCCCGGCCGCCTCCCCCTGCGCCTCGGGCACCGCGTGCACCGAACTCTGACACCGCGGGGGGCAGACGCTCACTGCGCTTTGCAAATGGCCCCTTTCTCTGACCAAAGAATCATGTGCCTATTCTCCGAGTAGTTTACTCCACAGCGTGCCATAATTTTTATTTCTTTTTATTCATTTTTATGGTATTTTTTTATTCCCATCTGTGCATACGGTGACTTTTAAACCACCCCAGTAGGAATAGTTATTCTGTCTTTTTCTTGGCTTTTGTAGTGGTTGTGTGTTTTTGACTCTGCAAGCAAGGCTAAAATAAACTTTCCTGCCGTAGTCTGGCAGGCCAGGGCTTTCACCTCCACAGGGCGGCGTTCCCAACGGGGGTTTGCTCTGCCCGCACGGGGATTTTTCATCTAATAATTTAAGGAAAGACTTCGCAAGCACAGTTCTGCTTGCCACGTGTGAAACGGGGTGTTGCCCTTCCTTCGTGCCCTCGAGATGGTTTTATGCTGGTTGTTTTAACGTCCACCTTGTCCTCTGCTCACTGGCCACTTGGATTTCCCCTTCTGCTGTGCGCGTGGTCACACGCGTGGCTCGTTTTTCTACAAATGCGTTTGCCTTTTTCTGATCAATTTGTAGCATTCAAGCTTCTTTCTATTCTTGTAAAGATTTTATTTATTTATCTTTAAAGAGAAGGGAAAGTAGAGAGAAAGAGGGAAAGTGAAACATCAATGTGTGGTTGCCTCTCCCGCGCCCCCTACTGGGGACCTGGCCAGCAACCCAGGCATGTGCCCTGACTGGGAATCAAACCTGTGACCCTTTGGTTCTCAGGCTGGCACTCAATCCACTGAGTTACACAAGACAGAGCTATTTTTTATTTAAATTATATTTTATTGTTTAGGCTATTACAGTTGCCCCAGTTTTTCTCCCTTTGCCCCCCTCCACTCAGCAACCCCCGACTCCCTCAGGCCATCCTACACCACGTCCATGTCCATGGGTCATACGTACACGTTCTTAGGCTACTCCCTTCCCTTTCTGTCATGCAGTCTCCCCTCCCTGTCCCCTCCGACCGCTGTCAGTCTGCTCCATGTGTCCATGTCTCTGGTTCTGTTTTGCTGGTTTGTTTCTTTGGTTCATTAGATTCCACGATTAAGTGACATCATATGGTATTTGTCTTTCTCTGACTGAAAACTTCATTCTGTTGTATACACAACACAATTCAGCCTGTAGTTCATGATGTGTTGTGTGTGTGTGTGTGTGTGTATGTTCGTCCCACTGTGTCGTGGGCCTTACGACTTTATTCGCAGACTACTCTGCTGCACAAAATGTTTGCACCCCTGTGCATCGGGGCTGGTGGGCGTCTGCTCGCGCCTTAGCAGGCCTCCTGGGCTACAGAATCACTGACATATTTCCTGTATTTGTGTTTCAGTTTTGCCCTTAGGTCTTTTAAGTGATCTGAAATTTTTACAAATAATTGCTCAGGGTCTAGGTTGTCTCCTCTGGATCGAGAGTGAGTTACTGTAGCACGTTTATTAAATAAAGATTGCTTTTCCCATCAAGTGACAATGCCAACTTGACTATATGTTAAATTGCCAAATAGAGCCCTGGCCAGGTAGCTCAGTTGGTTAGAGCATCATCCGCATACCCCAAGGCTGCGGGTTCTAGCCCCAGTCAGGACACACACAAGAATCAACCCATGAACGTGTAAATAAGTGGATCAACAAATTCCCAAATGCATCTGGATCTGTCCCTGGACTCTGCCCATCTGTGTAGCTGCCCGTCTTGTTCTGCTTAACTGAAGCAGTTTCCTATAGTATTTCTCTCAGCCAACTCCCTTGGAAAAGATTCTTTTCCAAAAATCTTTCACTATTTTCGGGTACTTATTCTGCCATATAAGCCTTAGAGTTAGAATTCCAATTGCCATTGGATTGGGTTTTTATTTTATTTTAGAGTAATTGGCATATTGTAATACTGTGTTCCTGTGTCAGAACACCACGTGCACCCTTCTGTTTATGCAGATTCCATTTAGACTTTCAGCCTCGAGAAAAGTAACTCATTTTGTGCATCTTCATCTTTTATCTAACCATTACACAGATTTTCTTATTAATACCTCTATCGTAAATTCTCTTATTAAGACTATTCACATCACTGGGGCCCTGTAAATATATCATCACAGCATCTGCAGTAATTTAAGATTCTCAATATTTACACAGTCAAGTCCATCTGCCTCCTGCCGCCCTGGGTGACCCCCCAAACTGTTGGGAGTGACTGTTATCCTTCCGTCTGTCCGCCCAGCCCCCTTAGCCCAGCTGTGCCTGAACCTCTGTCTCCCCCCCCCCCCCGCCCCGCAGAGAAGCGCCTGTCGCGGGGCATCTCGCACGCCAGCTCTGCCATCGTCTCCCTGGCCCGGTCCCACGTGGCGGGCGAGTGCAGCAGCGAGCAGTTCCCCCTGGAGATGCCCATCTACACCTTCCAGCTGCCCGACCTGAGCGTGTACAGCGAGGACTTCCGGAGCTTCATCGAGCGGGACCTGATCGAGCAGGCCACCATGGTGGCTTTGGAGCAGGCGGGTGAGTGGCGGCTGCCCCGGCGGGACCCTGGGTGCTGGGACCAGCCGCCTGCTCTGAAGGCAGGCTCTGTGCCAGCCCAGCGCTGGCCGCTCTGGACGTAGGGGTGCTGAGGTCTCCCGAATTTTCGCTCTTTCCGTACCCTGCCGCACCCACCCGTAGAAAACTCTGTGCTGCTCCGCCTGGCTTTTCCAGCCCCCAGGGGAGCTGGGCACACACAGACCAGGGCCTTTGAGAAGAACCGGAGACCTACTGCGAGTCCTGCGCATGCGCGCAGGTCGTGTGACTTCCCGAGCCTCAATCTCCCATCTGCGAAGGTGGGGGCCGGTCTGGTGGGGCTGAGCGTTCAGTGGCCCACCCCTGTAGCTAACAGTCGCTCGCCCTCCCCAGCCTCCCCTCTCCTCCTCCTCACATCCTGATGAGGAAGGGGTACAGGGAGCAAGCCCAACTGTTTTCCTTTGGGTAAAATAATTTGTGCAAAACCGACGTCTGAAACAGAGGGCGGTTCGCCCTGAGACACACAGCACACCCGTCTCTCTCTCGGAGTTGTTCGCATTATAAATCCTGACAACATCGTGCGGCTGCGGATGGGGGCGTCTCAGACACACACGAGGAAGACTGTGCACTTGTTCTGAGGCCACCGTGCGTCCCCTGGGGGGTCCCCCCAGCCAGCCTCGGTGGGGGGGGGGGCTGTCAGTGCACGTGGGGAGCAGACGGGGAGCCTCTGGCTGAGCCCAGGGAGAGAGGGGGTGTGAGGCCTGCAGCCAGGGAGTGCTGCCCTGTCGGGGGTGGGGCGCAGGCACGGCTGGAATTGCCCCGCACTCTCCATGCTGCTGCCGGAGACCAGAGAGGGGGATCTCGTGGTGCTATGCTCTTGACCTTGGTGGGCAGACTAGTCCTTCCCTACCAGCCCTGCCGGGGAAGAAAACTAGGGAGATGAGGGGACCCCGTGAGGGGGCAGTCAGCAGAGGAACAGGCAAGGTGGAAGGACACCATCAAAGGAGAGTCACGCCTGGAACTGGCCCCATGGGGACATTGCCACTCTGGGGCTTCAAAAAGGGGCAAAAGGCAGGGGCTGTGGGGGAGCAGTAGAAGTGACCCAAAGTAGCTAGATAATCCAGGTAGACCCAAGTGCTGCTGGGAGGGGCCAGAGTGGGAGGGACACGACCCCAAGAAATGTCCCCAGGCACGCAGAGCCCTGGGCCAGGGGTAGGTGTGGGGGCGGTGAGAGGCCAGAAGGACAGGCAGAGTCCAGGGGCCTGGAGACTGTTATAAAGTTGCCGGCCCAAAGTACGCATGAGTCTGGGGTTCTGGAACAGCCTGGGCACTGTGGGGTGACTCCCTGGGAGCCATGAGCTCCTCATGGGGCGTCCCACCAGGCTCCCCCACCCCACCCCGACACAGCTCTGTGTGACGTTGAGGATGGAGCAGGGTGGGGGGGGGCGGTGAGCAGTCAAGCCAAGCGTCACAATCCCGTGGTGGAGGCGGGGGACATACATGCAGAGACACACACAAGGCACGGGGGTGCCCAGAGGAGGAGGGGCCATGGCCCTGGGTGGGTGGGGTCTCTCCAAGAGGGTCACCTTCAGGGAAAGAAGTCACGCGTCTTTCTCACAGGGAATGGTCATGTTTTATTTTCTCTTCCCTCCAAGAGCCTGAGTGGGTGACAGGCAGAATGGCACCTTATTTTAAACCGTGTGGCAACCATATGTTACCAAAGCTCGAGCTCCCAGCCCCATGATCACGTGCGAATCAGAAGAAAAGGCGGAGTGACTATGAGCTCCTCCCTGGGAGCCCACCAGCCTCCCTGCGGGGTCCATCTCATTTCTCATCTTCTCCTTGGAGGGAGCTCAGGTTTCTGCTTGTCCTTTACATATTCTCAGCACCAGTTCCCACGTCTTTTCCCGGCTTCTCAGTGGCCTCGTTGGGCAGGGAGCTGGAACGACCACCCTCCCAAACACAGGCCCTGGGGCTCTGAACTGTGTCCCCTGCCACGCTGCCACACTGCTCACTCCCACGAGGAATGCCTCACCTCGGGCATTCCGTTCTGGGTGAGGCTGCAGATGTCAGAATGGCCCTGGGCCATTCGTGTTCTCGGGAGGCCGCAGGGTGCTAGGCTGTCCTCCCAGGGTGGGCGCCCCATCACAGCCCCAGGGTGCTCCACAGCCAACTCAGGCCACTGAGCCTTGTCATCCATGCCCCCGCCCCCCGCCCCACCCCCGCCACATCATCAGGTGTTGTGATCGTGATCCAGTTGCCTTCCAACTGCGGCTGCCTGTGTAGGCTGGACCGAGACTTCGGAAATGATAAACTCCCCTCAAGAAATCTGAATGCGAGAAAGAAATGCTTAGGGAAGATGCGCTGGTTAAAACAGCACTAACTCACGGGCCTAGAGAGACTGGCTAGGTGTGCGCGATCCCTTGCAGAGGAAAGGTGGCATTTGGCCGCGCTGCTGAGTTTTAACTCCGCGCAGGGCTCCTCTCCTGGGCTGTCACCACTTCTGATTTTACATTTTTATGACAGTTTATTTGAGCCGAGCTGATGACTTGTGCTGGGGAGCAAGATCACAAGTGCTCCCTCTTTTTTTTTTTTTCCAACTTTTGTCTTTTAACAAGTGCATTTCTTTTCTCAGTGTAACCACTGTTGGGCTCTCTTTGACACAGGGGATTTCTCCCCTTACAAGCCTGCTTTTAAGTCCAGTGAATATTTTTAAATCACTTCTGGTTTGAAAGTTATACACTCTTCCCATTTCTGAGAGGTTCCCCTGCCCAAAATAGAAAATGCATATGAAGCACATCTCACCTTAATACCTTAGCCTACCCCCAGACAATGCAGGGACCCTCATCTATTTAATTTTACTCGCCTTTCCCTCCTGATTTATGTTGTCGTTTATTTTAGCTCTGTACTTTCAATCAAGTCAGACATTATTACTATTTAACACAGACGATGTTCACACAGATGTACCCACACATTTACCAGTTTTGCATCTCCTCATTTCTTCCCGTACATCAGACCCTCCTTCTGTTTGAAGTTCATCTTTTACAATTTCCTTGGGTGAGTCTTCCTGATTTTACTGTCTCGATTTTTTTTAAAGATTGTATTTATTTTATTTTTAGAAAGAGGGGAAAGGAAGGAGAAAGAGAGGGAGAGAAACATCAATGTGTGGTTGGCTCTCATGCGCCCCCTACTGGGGACCTGGTAGGTAACCCCGGCATGTGCCCTGACTAGGAATTGAACCGGCAACCCTGTGGTTCACAGGCTGGCACTCAACCCACTAAGCCACACTGGTCAGGGCTCTGGTAGAATTTGGTTTTGGTTTCTATTCCTCTGCTGAGCCCCGTCTAGAAGAGTCCAGTTTCCCTCTTGATTACTTTGCCAGTATGACAATTTTTTCTAACCCTCTCTCTCAGGGGGTAGTTTTTGAGAGTCTAAACTATATGTGGAGGGGAAAGGGATCCCCAGTTCCAATGCCCCACATCACACGTTCTTGGGGTCTTTTTTGTGGTTTTCTGGGAGGAATGGGGGAGAGCAGGAACTCACACAGGGTCGGTGTGGAGACTGAGGCAGAGGAATAAGTCCTGTGCACAACCCCCATCCTTCAGTATTTAATGGTAGAAACGATTCCTCTTTCTCCACGTCACATGAAGGGAAAGCTACAAACTCCTGAGGGTGTCCCTGTGGGCAGGGGGCACTGAAAGGGAATTTCAACGTGCTCTCTAGTTTTGGGGGATTATTTTACATTGAAAGGAACCAGCCGAAGCGACTATGACAGAGGGGTGACATTTGCTTGGTGTTACGTTATAAGGCTCTGGATCTGACTTAAATCTTACATTTTGGCACGCTTTGTCTGACGGCTGGCTGTTAGGTGCAGGGAGTGGGGGCACTGACACGTACCTGCCAGATGGGGGCGGAATGACGGGTTTCCCACTCCGCCAGTGGACAAGGGTTGTGGAATGATTGGCACTGCTGGGCGGGGCGGGGGGCGTGGCCTCATCACCGTCAGACCCGTGCGATGCGCTCTCCGTGGCCAGGCCTGGCTCTGCCCTCAGCCCCTCTGATACCGCCTGGCGGAGGGGGCCCAGGCCAGGAGGGACTCCCTGCAGCCTGGCAAGGACGGAAGTCTCCGGTCCCCACTCAGCCTTTGCAGGAGTGGAGATAGGGTTCCAGTTTTTTCTGTGCTGTTTGGCCAGAATCAAGCAGGTTCCGTCTAAGCCGTTATTGCCTGGCTACGCTGCCACTTTTCATGGAGTTGTTTGTCTGCCCTCATTGGCATTTGGGGGTTTCTAGCTTCTGCAGTATTCTGGCCTGAGATTTGTGCAGCAAAGAGAAACTCCAGCCCTGACCAGTGTGGCTCAGTGGGTTGGAGCAACGTCCCACAAAACAAAAAAGTCACTGGTTCAATTCCTGTCAGGGCACACACCTGGGTTGCGGGCCAGGGCCGGGGGTTGGGTACCAAGAGGCCGTTGATTGGTGCTTCTCTCTCACATGGATGTTTCCCTCCCTCTCTTTCTCCCTCCCTTGCCCTCTTTCTAAAAATAAATAAATAAAATATTTTAGAAGAGGAAGAAAGAAACTCCAAGGAGCACGCCACCCACAAACTGCTCAGGCCCCGAGGTTCCTGCCCAGGCTGACTTCTCCCCACTGCTCAGTCTCCTGTACCCTTTTTTAAAAAAGATTTTATTTATTTATTTTTAGAGAGGGAAGGGAGGGAGAGAGAGAATCAATGTGTGGGCCTCTCACATGGCCCCCACTGGGGACCCGGCCTGCAACCCAGGCATGTGCCCTGACTGGGAATCGAACCTGCGACACTTTGGTTCATAGCCCGTGCTCAATCCACTGAGCTATACCAGCCAGGGCTCCTGCACCCTTTTATACACACTGCCCGAGATGTTTAGTTGCGCCGAGTTGAGAGAACAGGGGAAACTATGCCCATCTTCCCAGAAAGAGCTGTCCCAGGACATGTGAACGAGATTTATCCCGACTCCACCTAAGTAGCTGTAATGGTTGGGTGTATGAAATCAAACGCAAACCATATTTTCAAAGGTTATGTGCATCAACAAAGAAGGGTGATTCAAGGAAAAAATAACTCTCAGGAGGGGAAACTGTGTGGAAGGCAATGACACATGAGAAATTTTACATTTTGTGTAAAGTACGTCCCTAGCTCCAAGGAGAGAAGGCTTTGGGGTTGAGTTGTTTGACCCTGTTGCTAATCGACTAAAGAATTTGACCATCTGGTTTCTTGGAAAGAAAAGAAAGTCTACATGTTATTTAAGAAAAAGTGGCTGTAATGCTCTGACTTCCCCCTGAAGTTCCCAAACGCCCCCCAGAAAGCCGCCCGCTGATGCCTGTGCTGACTTTGCAAACCCATGGCGGCCCCACCCGCTACAGGACTCTGTCCTGAAGTGACCTTCCGTTCCAGGTCGCCTGAACTGGTGGTCTGCCGTGTGCACAAGCTGCAAGCGGCTTCTCCCTCTGGCCACGACGGGGGACGGGAACTGCCTTCTCCACGCCGCCTCACTGGGTAAGCTCCGCGGCGGCGTAGATGGAGGGTGGTTGTGCCCCAGGCCTGCTCTGGGCATCTGGAAAGGACAGACACATGCTGAGGAGAGCCATGTGCTTCACTGTCATCTGGAAGAGTTCCCAGCAATCCCAGCTCTCCTTGTCAAGTACCTGGCAGGCTTGGGGGAGGGGTGGGCATAAAAAACACATGAGAAAAAACCTGTCATGATAGAAGGAGGCCTGGGTGGGGCTGCAGGGGTGGAGAATAGCAATGGTGATCTAGAGAAATCCAAGGGGACTTCCTGGAGGAGGTGGGGTGGTGTTTTTGTTTTTGTTTTACTGAGACTTGCAGAACTTGGAAGAGTATAAACAAGGGCAATCCAGGCAGGGAGGCCACATTGGCAGGAATTCACAGGGCACACGGAGGCAGGGCTGAGCTCAATCAGGCTTGCACAGGAAGTCTGGGGAGCAGCACACGAAATTGGATAGGTTTGGGGCCACTATACCAACTGCAGTCGATGCACTTGTACTGACAAACAGACAGACAGACAAAGGCGCTGCAGGATAATCCACACCGTCAGAATACACAGGGGAGAGGTCGGCAGCCTCTTCTGGCAGAGGTGTGAGCTTCCTGGTCACCAAGAGCCACACCAGCGGGTGCACGCAATGACACCCCGGCCGGAAGCTCAGGGATCCCTTGCAGGCCCAGCCGTACATGTACAAGGGCCAATCAGTGTTGACAGTCGGTGCTTGCTGTGCCAGGGATGCTGGCGTCAGGGCTGGTTGTACCCATCAGTCCTGAAGTTTAGCGTCTCTCTCTCCGGGGACAGGGGCCTCAGACAGGAAGAGGGTCCTTGTTGGTCAGACTCACCTGCCCAGGTAACCACGGGCCCCAGACCTCCCATCACCTGTAGACAGGCCTGTTCAGCAGGAGGAGGCTACGATGACACCTGAGAAGACTCAGAGGGGACACTCGGGGTCTGGAGGGGCTGTGGGAGGCTCAGGGGACCAGGGGCGCCAGGACCGGGGGAGCAGCCCACGTTTCCTGGGCTTCCGGGGGGTGGCGCTGTGGGGAGGCTAAGGCACCACCTGCCTGCTCAGTTCCCACTCAGAACCAACCCACCTCTATCTGCCTGCTGCCGTTGTAAAAGGATTCCACACTCATCGTGGGAACAGCAAACAAAATGCAAAAATCAACACCCCCACCACTCGGCAACAGCCACCGTTACCATGTTGCTCTATCGCCTTCTAGTTTTTTATTCATCTTTCCAGTGGAATTACAATCACTCTGTGTTCACAGCTTGGAACCACATTTTTCCCTTAAAATTCTATGGTGCCTTTCCCATGCTCGCATTCTTCAAAAACACGTGGTATTTCAACATGATGTATTCACATCCTCCTGCTAAGGGACCCGTTTCCCTTTGTCCCGCACAAAACCCGGGGAAAGAACATAAACAGAAACGTCCCCTCTGTGTCCACCCTCAGCCTCGCTGCCGAGTCCCGGGTGGGTGGGTGGGCCGATGCCTTTGTCCTTCAGCAGCCGCAGCGTGCGGAGGCCTGTCCCCAGTAGCATAACAGGGGCCACACGCCGCTGTGGTCTTGTCTGACCTGTCCCCATCACCCACCCACCCCCCCCCACCCGGGGAGCAGGCTGCCTCCCAGGCCCACGCCACATGCGGGGCATCCGCTCTGCTCCTTGGGAGGCTCAGCCGGACCGGGGCTGCGGGCCGACCCCAGAGGAAGCTGAGGTCTGACTATGAAGCCAACTCAGGGTCCTACATGAGCCACGTCACCCACCTGTCCCCAAAGGCTACCTCGGTCCCTAACCCAAGACTTGCACGGTGGACATTAAGTCCCTCAAAGCAAACCTGAGGGACCGAGAGTGTCTGGCCAAGGGTCCGGGAGAGGCATCGCCAGATGTCACTCACTTTTGTTTTGCTGAGAAGGGGACGTGCTGCTTCATTACCTGCTCGCGAGGACAGGGAACATCAGGACAAGGGCCGAGGGCAGCTGCGGGCTGGGCACGAGAACTGCGGGGGCCGAGGAGGCAGCCGTGTGCAGGCAGACAGGGGAGGTCTGCCCAAAAGGCGCGGCAGCCTGAGTCACCCCCTCGCGGCCCTCACCCTCAGTCCCATCTCTGCCCCGCCCCACCCCCACAGGGATGTGGGGCTTCCACGACCGGGACCTGGTGTTGCGGAAAGCTCTCTACACCATGATGAGGACGGGGGCCGAGAGGGAGGCCCTGAAGCGGCGGTGGAGGTGGCAGCAGACGCAGCAGAACAAGGAGGTGGGTTCCCACCTGCATGCCCAGGCCGGGGGGACCCCCACCAGGCGCAGCTGGGGGCCCCAGGGAATCTGGACAGAGCCCCGCCCCAAGGCCGAGTCCACCTGGGAGGTCTAGCAGACGACCTCAGACCCCAGCGCCCTGCGACCATGCATCCACTCACCCCGCCTGCTTATGAAAACCCACCACCTTCACCCGCAAAGGTCACCCATGTCAGGTCCCCCTGGGGGGTAGCATGAAGGTCAGGTGCAGCCACAGGGGGACGCCACCCGGCCCACAGCCCCGTGTGCACTCAGTCAGAGATGCCCGGTCGTCCTGGCCATGCAAACATGGGCACGCGGCTGTGCCTGGAAGGAGGACCTGCTGGCCGTCTGATGGGAGTCCTGCAGATTTCCTAATGGTTGGCCAGGGCCCGGCGCTGTAGGGGGCGCCCCTGGGGATGACCCTCAGTGCTGGGTGCACGGCCAACAGCATGGAAGTCAGAGATGGAGGGCTCAGGAAAATATCACCCATAGCAAATGGGGGACAGGCCACTAATGGGCGTGCCTGACCTGGGTCCCACCGGTGGGCTCACACCGAGCCGGGAGGCCGGCCCCGCACCTGACTCCGCGCCCCCTGTGCCAGTCAGGGCTGGTGTACACGGAGGAGGAGTGGGAGCGGGAGTGGACGGAGCTGCTGAAGCTGGCCTCCAGCGAGCCGCGCACACACTTCAGCAAGAACAGCGGCACGAGCGGGGGGTGAGTGCCACCCCAGCCCCTCGGGGGTGGTGTCAGGGAGCATGGGCCCCCCCCCCCGAGATCAGGGACACGGGAACTCCCGCCTCTGGGTGGTCGGTCCGACTCGGGGACGGAGGGCAGGGCTGTGGGCCGTGGCTGGGCGCCTTCTAGACACTCGGGGAGCGTGCCCGCCCCACGCACACCTGTCGCCCCAAGCTCCACTTGCTGTCCCCCCACCCCCGTGTTCTTCAGACCTCGTCACACCACGTCACGGGTGGTGGCAGGGAGGGCCCCGGGACGCAGCCAGGCTCTGGACGTAGCACGCGGCCATGGCCCTGCCCGCTCACTGGGCACTGGCACCTCAGGGTGCCCAGTGTCAGGGTTGTCCCAACTGAATGTCTCACATCTGGCTTCGAGCAGGCACCGTGAGAGCAGAAGCTGGTGCAATGAGCCCAGGGTCTCCCTGAGGAGCTCCGGGCAGGCCAGGGGCTTCCGGCAGAGAGGGGTTGCCATGGTGCTGGCGTGGCCAACAACTCAGGCGACCAGTAGCTCATCTCTGCAGACTCGGCCAGAATGCCCCAGTGCCGGAATGGGTGTGGCCAGAGGGCGGCCTTTGGGTCGAACCTTTTTTAAAAATTTTTGTTTTATTGATTTTTAGAGAGAGGGGGGAAGGTGGGGGGAAGAGAGAGAAACTGAGAAAGAGAGCAAAATCTTTGCTTTGTTGTTCCGCTCATTGATGCGTTCACTGGTGGATTCTCATATGTGCCCTGACCGGGGATCGAACCCGCAACCTTGGCATATCAGGACGATGCTCTAACCAGCTGAGCTCTCCAGCCAGGGCTGGTTTATACTTTTTGAAGCTGAAGCCCAAGTTGTCGTCCCTGGATGACATCTCAGCCGACTATAGGAGAACGTGGGTTCCGACACCGAGGAGCCCCCAGAAATGACGGGTGCCCGAGGACAGCCACGGCCTGCAGTGCAGCCTGGCCGGCTCCCGGGCCTTCCCTCTGAGGAATTCAGGTCCTTGGCTGTGGGCTGTGTGTGCATGGTTGTGCCAACCCCCCCCGCCCACCGCTGTCACCGCACCCCGTCCTCTGAAGCAGGGCCACACCTGCTGCCTCCTGCCCTCCCCCAGGCCTCAGGGACCTCCGTCAGTTCATTCTGAGTAACCCCCCCCACACACACACACACCAGAGCGCCCGGGGGAAAGCCCGGTGCCACCCGGGCTGGCGCTGCGGGTGCACAGAGGCCCCAGCGAGCTGTGAGCACGAGCTCCCTCTCGCCTCTCGATGTTTCCTTCCCTTTGGGGTGCCTGGTTGTGGGGGGCACCGAGGCTGCAGCCCTCTGCCCACATGTCACAGCATCTCAGCGACAGCAGCCCGTGCAGCCTGCTCTCTCCCGGAGCCGGGGACTCCATACAAGGGCACGGGCTGGGGACCGTCCGTCCGATCAGCCTGGGGTGGACAGTCAGTCGTGTCCCTGCCCTCCCGCTGTGAGGACTGAAATCCAGGCAGCCTTCTCGCCGCCCTCTCCCATGGGGGTAGGGGGGTTTCTAGGAAGCCCCTCAGACTTTGGTGGCCAGGGTCCCCACCGACCCATCGGATGCACCCGGGCTTAGCAGCGCCCTGCTGAGGGCGAGGCTTCAGGAGACGTGCTGGGACCACAGATGAGCCTCCCTCCCTCCCTCCAGCCCCTGCTGTGTCCTTGCTCGTCACCCCAGGGAGCCGGCCCCCACGGTCTGCTCGCTCCACGTGGGCCGCTTCTGCCTGAAGCAGGGCCCAGTCTGCTGAGACCACCCCCCAGACTGGGGGCCTGTGCGTTCGTCCTCAGAGGGGTGTGGGAGGCAGGCGGCCTCAGGGGCGGGGTCGTGCCGGCCAGGGTCCCTGGAGGAAGGTGTCCCGTCTTCAAGCCCCGCCCCCTTTCAACCGGCGCAGTGACAGCGCCCCCTTGCTTTGCCCTGCCCCCAGCGCGGACAACCCTGAGGACCCCGTGTACGAGAGCCTCGAGGAGTTCCACGTCTTCGTGCTGGCCCACATCCTGAGGAGGCCGATCGTCGTGGTGGCAGATACGATGCTGCGGGACTCGGGCGGGGAAGGTGGGTTTGCACAGAGTGAAACAGACGAAAGCGCAGCGTCCCTGCGGAGGGAGACCCACAGGCAGGGCAGAGCGCCCAGGAGGCCAGCGGCCTTGCTCTGCATGGACCAGGGTCGTGTCAGTTCTCCCCACGTCTCCCCCACGCATCTCGCTCACGCCCCCTCCCGGAGAACAGGGCGATGGCTCTGGGCCCTGCGTTCACCCAGCGTGTGGCCAGCAGGTCACACCTGGCCCAGTGAGGGCAGTGACTAAACCCGGGGTGCTCCTGCTCCCCGCCTGCGCCCCCACCTGTCCAGCTAGTGCGGGCCTGGCACCAGGGCCCTCGGCCTCTCCCGGCCCCTCCCGCCCCACTCAGGCTCCTGCGTTAAAGAGCAAAGAGGGAGACAGAAAGCCAGCCGGCAGCCAGCAGCGCTGGGGCGGGAAGGGCAGGAAGGGCTTCCACAGCCCCTCCCCATGGGCCTCTCCCTCGGCCCTCACTGCAGCCCGCCCGCCAACCCTGGGGTGGCCACTGTCCTTCCGCCGGACAGACAGGAAGCTGAAGCCCCCCCCCCGCCCCCCCCCCAGCACAGGGCCTGGGAGGAACAGGTCCGCCTCACCCCGCCAGCTCCACGCACCCTCGCCCTCGTTTGTGTCCGCAGCCTTCGCGCCCATCCCGTTCGGCGGGATTTACCTGCCGTTGGAGGTGCCTCCCAACAGGTGCCACTGCTCGCCTCTGGTTCTCGCCTACGACCAAGCCCACTTCTCTGCCCTCGTGTCCATGGAGCAGAGAGACCAGCAGAGAGAACAAGGTAGGACGCCCACCGCCTCCACAGCCGGAGACAGACGCTGCTCGGGGGCGGGGTGGGCGCAGCAGGCGCGGCAAGCAGACCCCGAGCCTCCCTGGGCAGCACGCCGCGCGCATGCGCACTCAGCAGCAATGAGTCGTGCTTGCAACTACCATAGATGCGCGTAAACGTCGTCACTGAAAATAACAACGTTCATGCGGGAGGGGCAAGGATTGGCTCAGTGATTGCATGTGAAACCCCTTGGCGTCCGGGTTTGAGGGACCCAGAGATGTGAGCATCCCTGCCTTGGGCGGCGGGGGGGGGGCCTTACCCCCTCGAGAGGGGCACAGGCCGCCCCTGTACTGGGCAGGGTGCGCCGCCCCTATACCGGGCAGGGTGCGCCGCCCCAGGTAGGCATGAGCTCCATCCAGGAGGGGAGCGATTATTCCTATTCGGAAGAACAGACAGACAAACAGACGCAACAGAGAAGCAGCCTAGAGGTGGTTTCGGAGGCCGACCGCGATGTCCAGAGACTGGTTCCAGGGGGCAGAGCTGGCTGAGCCCAGCGCTGGGCTGCTGAGGGGGTGTGGCCGGCGTGGCTGCGCGAGCCAGGAGCCCTGTGACCTCCCAGCCTGTCCGTGTGTCTGTCAGCAGGCGCAGCAGCACCTACCACCTGGGTGCGGAGCCCTTCCTCCTTGTTCCCCTCCCCCCTCCCTGTCCCCCCTTCTGTCCCTTTCCTCCCTGCCTGCCCAGTGTTGCCCCCATGGGGCCCCTCCTCATTTGACATGCTCAAGGACCTCACCCCTTCATTATAGAGTGATAGTCCCGGGGGCGGTCCCTCCGGGCAACCAGCTACCTGAGCGTCCAGTAAGCCAGGCAAGGTGACATTTAAAGTTAACCCCGAGTGTCTCCTGGTAGCAGTCCATCGGGTTCTGTGTCCTCTCCCTGGGCCACGCTCTTCCTTCGACGATTTGGTAACAACTTGAGCTGAGTTCTCCCTGGTGCCCCTCTGAGCCCGCCCTCACTGAGGTCATGTCCATCTCCCCTCAGAGGTGCGTCTTCCCTTAGCGTGCAGGCTGGCTGGCTGCCCTGTGACGTCAGCGCTCGAAAGGTCACCGGGGACTCGCACACATGCAGGTCGTCTGGCCTCTACTGGTGGTTGTCGCGATAGTTCAGTGCCTTCCCAGCCTGTCACATCCCCAAGCAGAAACCAGAAATCTCCACTCTTTGTCTGGAAAATGAGCACTTGCAATGTGTCCAGACTAGTTTCAGATAGGCCTGTATACTTCCTGGTTAAAAGATAGGAGCCTTTCCAAAATTTAAAAAAAAGAAGAAGAAGAAGAAGAATGAGCTCTGGCCGGTGTGGCTCAATTGGTTGGAGTGTCGTGCTGTAAACTGAAAGGTCGCCAGTTTGATTTCCTGCTCAGAGCACATGCCTGGGTTGCAGGTTTGATCCGCAACAACTGAGTGATGTTTCTTTCTCACATAGATGTTTCTCTCCCTCTATCTCTCCCTCCCTTCTCCTCCCTAAAAAAGTGAAACTAATATAACCAATATAAGATTGTATACCAGCTATACTTAAACTAAAAAGTTTGCAATCATATTTAGAAAGGCATCTGCTATGCCCAAGTTTTGCCAGCAGAGGGCGAGCTACCGCCCTACCTCTTACCAGAGAGGCCCGGTTTCCCGTGGGGAACAGTGGGTGTGTGCTGGGAGAGGCAGAGGCCCGCGCTGCTGCTCTTGCTGCCGGGAAGGACTGTTCTGGAAGCCTCCCTGGTGTGTCCTGTGGCCCCAGCCCTCAGCACGGGCTGCACTGCACCCTCTGCGGAGAAGACGCCTGCCTTTAGCCTGCGGGCGTCTCTCCTCTTGCCTTGCTCAGCTCCCGGTTTTCCCCTCCCTGAGATCCAGGCTGCGAGGCCTCCGGGCTCCACTAGGTCGTCAGGGCCTGGCCCCTTAGGTGACTCCGATCTTCTGCTCGGGGTGGGGGGGGCGCAGCCCAGGAGGCCATGGCAGGGAGGTGAGGCTGAGGGGTTCATCTCCAAGGGAGGGGTCAGGACCCCACCCCTGCCATCCTCAGCAGGCACACAATTGGGGGGAGCAGAGAGGCCGCCCACCCCTAACCACATGGCACAGTGTGTCTGCTCGCGCTCCAGAGGGCACCTCTTCTGCCCTCCATGCTGGGGGCTGCCAACCGCTCCCCTGGCAAGGGGGTGGACTGCTGGGCCCAGACTGCCCAGGGGGGGCCCTCAGAAACTGCTTTGGACAGATTATTGCTCTAGAACAACCGTTTCCAGATTTCCCTGCTTTTAAGAACCAGGAGGGATGTTTGCTTACAATGTATGTGGTCCTTGGGTCCTTTTCCTGGACACTGTCTGGCCATCTGGGGTGGGGACAGGGTGGGGGGGGGCATCAGGGCCTTTGCTGAGGCTTCCAGGGAGGTGAGCTGCTCTAGCAAGTGCCCGGGGAGGGGACCTCTCTGGCCCTTAACCCCGCCTGAGGGTGGGGAGCCAGGCCAACACCCCCACCCCCACCCCCACCCCCAGCCCAACCCGGTGATGCATGGACCCACCGACCACCTCCTGGGAGGCCAGTCGGAGCCAGCCTGCAGCCCAGGAAGGGCCGTGTGCATCCCAGGAAGGGCCGTGTGCATCGCGGCCAGATCAAGGCAGCCTGAGCCGCCCGGGGCCTCCCAGCCTGAGCTCAGCACTGCCCGTCCGGCCGCATTGAGCGGGGAAGACCCAAGCAAAGCCGTTTCCTTTTCACGGGTGGTGGTGCGGGGGTGCGGGCTACTGGCGCTCCCGTTCCTCTTGAGCAACACCGGAGGGCAGCGCTGAGTCAGTCTGGTGGGAACTGAAGGGGCGTTGAGACCTCCGTTCTGCTTGTTTGCCTTTGTTCTTGGGCCGGCATGTGCCCCAACTCAAGGGAAGGGGAGCGGCCCGTGGCTCAGGGCCGGCCCCTGCAGGGAGGGGAGTGAGAAGGAGGAGGAGGCGGCAGGCCCGGGGCAGGAGTGGAGCTCGGGGGCTCCCTGGCCCCACAGGCTCGTGGTGCCCAAGGAGAGCAGCCCGCGGGAAGCAAGCACCGTGCGCCTGGCCCAGGGGAGGGCAGGAGAGGGGCCGCCCAGTGTGGTGCTTGGCCCCGGAGCAGGGCGAGGGAGGCACGGCCTCCACCCAGTACTGGCGGTCTCAGCCCGCTCCCCTTCCGTGCGGGGCAGCAGCTGCATCGGCCTCCCAGGCGGAGGGGGGGGGGGGCAGCAGGGCTGGGCGGAGGCCCCAGGACTACAGGCTGCACCGCGAGAGGGCGCCCCAGCGTTCTGCCCGCACCCGGCGGGCCTCCGGCGGCGCGGTCCCCACCGGGCAGACACAGACGTGGACTCGGAGCCAGGAAGCCCTCCCCAGCCGGAGCCGCAGCTGGCGGGGCCCCAGCCCCTGGCTGTGCTGCTCCGAGGGGGGCCGGTGGGGGAGGGGGGGTCTGTCTGCCCCACTTCCTGCTCTGGCGGAGGTCCCTGCTCCCTGACGACGGGAGTGCGGCGCTCACTGGGTCCCGCGGCTGCTCCGAAGCTCCTCGCAGATCCCAGGCGAAGCTGCACGCACCCCGCTCCGCCCCAGCCTTTTTCTTGGGGGTCAACACTCGCCCCAGCTTCGAAGCGGTTCGGAAGGGTTCGTGAGCAATCAGTCCCTCCCCCTGCTCCCCGCCCCCACCCCGTCTGCCTGTCTCCACTGGGTCTCCACCCACCTGTCCCCTCCGCCCAGGACCCCGCCCCGCCCTGCCTCCCACGGCCTGCTGCTGTTTACCGGTGAGGTGTCCCTCCCGCGACGACAGGCACGTGCGCCCCCGCAGGCGGGGACCGGGCCCGCGGCCGGGAGCTCCCTGTGGGCAGCCACCACCGCGGAGCCCCGCACTGACGCGGATACAAATGAAACCACACACGGGGCGCACGGGCACCCTGGGACCGTCTCCGGGAGGAAAGGGCAGGGCCGGGCTCCGGGCCACCCCGACCTGCTGGGCGGCCTTGCACAGGGCGCTGAGCCCACTGGGGTCTTTCCTCAGGAGGAGCAGGAGCAGTGACCGCGTCCTCCCGTCTGCTGACAGACCCGAACCCTCCGCGAAGTCCCGGCGAGGGCTGCGGCTCTCCCCTCCAAACCCACCCCAAGTCACGAAATCCGCCTCGGCAGTGGCACACGCGTGTCTGTGTGAGGGGTTTGTCAGTCCTGCCAAGGGATTCTCTTTGTTCCCGATTCCTCCCAGGAGAGGACTAAACACGCCCCCTCGGGAAACAAACCGAGGGCAAGTCCCAACATGAACTGTCTCCCGGAGACACCGTGTGCCCCGGGGGAGCGGAATTCATTACGAGCCGCGTGCGGGCGGGCGCGGGGGTTCCGTGGTCTCGACGCTCCACCTGGCGCAGGTGTCGCGCGGTCCCCGTGGCTTTCCTGAACCACGGAGACGCCTGGTCTGGGAGTTCCCGCCCCTGCTCCCCCTCCCCCCCGGGGGGGGCTGCTCGGGAGGTCACCGTGGGCCACCTGGCACCGCGCCTGTCTCTTCCGTTCCAGCCGTGATCCCGCTGACGGACTCCGAGCACAGGCTGCTGCCCCTGCACTTCGCGGTGGACCCCGGCAAGGACTGGGAGTGGGGCAAAGACGACAAGGACAACGCCCGGCTGGCCCAGTAAGCCCCCGCCCCGCCGCCCCTCCCCCAGCGCCCGCCCCTGCCCCTGCGGGAGGTGGCCAGAGGGCGGGCGGGTCTCACCTGCGTCTTCTCTCGCCAGCCTCATCCTGTCGCTGGAGGCCAAGCTGAACCTCCTGCACAGCTACATGAACGTGACGTGGATCCGGATCCCCTCGGAGACCCGGGTGAGCCTGGCGCCCGGGAACGCGACGGGCGCCTCGCCGGAGCGCGGGGGCCCAGCCCCCTCCGGCCTCAGGTCCCAGCCCTGCTTGCAGCCCGGGGCCCCGAGGCTCCGGGGTCCCCATGGCTCCGGGGTCCTCGTGGCTCCGAGGTCCCTGTGCCTGTGTGCGCGGGGACGCACCCTCCTGCTGGGGGCTCTTGCCCCCTGTTTTCTCCAGGAAAGGGGTAAACGCACCCGCTGAAAGCAAACTGTGGGCAAGTCAGACGCACAACCGATCTCCCCGGAGGTCGGAACCGCCTGAGCCGCCGCCGCCGCCGCCGCGGCGGAGTTAGTTATGAGCCACGTGCGGCCCCTGGAAAACCCAGGCGCCCGCGCTGCGGCCCTCGGCGCCGCTCCACCTCGCCCCTTGCTTCCCGGTGCAAAGACCTGACAGCCGTTTGGTCCGCCCAGTGGTGAATTCCCAGGGAAAGGCATTTGTGTTTTGTATTTTTTTTTTTTAATGTGGAAGCTTAGGAATCATGGGCCCTCCCCAGACATGGGTGTACTTGGCCGTGAGGTGGGACCCATGTGGAAGGCGGAGTCAGACCCAGCGCTGTCATGCTGCAGCCTCTGCTGGTCCAGGCCAAACCGATGTCCCACCGATGTCCCAGGGCACTGATGGCGGGAGTGACGGCCAGTGCCTGCCCCGCAGGTGCCCCGGGCTGTGGAAGTTCCTTCTGGGCACCCAGGAGGAGGGGGTGATGGCAGCAGCTCTAGACCCAGAATTGAGCAGCCCTTGGGCTAGGACACAGGTCCCTTCTGCAGAGTAGGCCCCGGGCCCGGCCTTGGAGACATCAGAAGTCAGAGGTGGGGCCTGGGGCCAACAGCACTGGCCCTGCCAGCCCTCGGGCACTTGGGCCAGGGCACCTTGCTCGCTGCACCCCCCTTCTACCCTCGGAGTGAGACCCCCCCAGGCCCCAGACAGGATGGGAGGGGAGCAGTGAGGGGCGGCTCCACCACCCTCAGCCTTGGCGACCTGGCTGCAGGAGGGCCGCCCCTCTCGCAGACCTGCTCTGTGGGGGGGGGGGAGCAAAAATGAAGTGGGGAGCCATATGGTCCTTCTCCCAGGCCGCACCCCCGGAGCCAGGAAAGCCAGGAGCGCTGGTTCCCGCACACCCGCCTGCGGGCGTGAGGTCTCCACCCGGCGACACCCCGGCACAGTTCCCCCCTCACCGGGGAAGGAGCGTCCGAAAGGCAGCGGGTGGTGCCGCCCGCCCCGACCCGGGCACCCTCTCTCCTCCTCTCCGAGGCCCTCACCTACCCCGGGCTCCGGTCCGGCCACGTGTCCACACGCTGGCTGCCCGTGGGCCTCCTCCAGGGCCTCCCCCCCCCCCCGGGATACTTCCTCCCCGCTCCGAGCCTGGCCGCATCCAAGGGCCTTTTCGGGGAAAGGCACCGTCTTCCCTGTTCAGCCCAGGTCCCAGTTCAAAAGCCTTCTCAACTCAGCTCTCCACCCGCCTGTCTGAGAAAGGGCCCCTCAAGCCACTGGGCATCGCTGAGCGGAGGGGACGTTTGTCCCAAGCCCCAGAGAATGAGGTTCTGAGGGCAAGGTGTCGGTCCCCTTCCTGGAGGGAACAGGAAAGACGCCTTGGTGGGAGGGACACCTAGCGGTGCAGGTGAAGTGTCGCCCGCCCTCACAGGAGGGCCTCTGTCTGCACAAAGAGGCCGGCCTGGGACCCGCTGCCCCGGTGTCTGGTGGGCAGCAGCCTGGCCAAGGCTGCAAGGCCAGAGTCTGGGCCGGGAACCCTCTCTCAAGTGTGCAGAGGCTCTGGGGGCGGGGGGGTACTTTGCCCAAAGCAACGGGCTCCGCTCAGAGTTCCAGGCTACCAGCGGCCTGAGTTCACCCAAGAGGCCATCGGGATGCGACCGGGACTGAGAGAGGAGGGCCGCAGCGCAGCAGCGCAGGGCAGGGCGGGGTGAGTCTTCTCGGGCCCAGGTGGCGCCAGCTCCTCTCTGACCGCCCCCCCGCCCCGCCCTGCCCTCCCTGTTCCCCGACAGGCCCCTCTGGCGCAGCCAGAATCCCCAACGGCCTCGGCGGGGGAGGACGTGCAGTCCCTGGCAGACTCCCTGGACTCGGACCGAGACTCGGTGTGCAGCAATTCCAACAGCAATAACGGCAAGAGCAGCAAGGACAAGGACAAGGAGAAGCAGCGCAAAGAGAAGGACAAGACCCGCGCGGACTCCGTGGCCAACAAGCTGGGCAGCTTCAGCAAGACGCTGGGCATCAAGCTGAAGAAAAACATGGGCGGCCTGGGAGGCCTGGTGCACGGCAAGATGGGCCGCGCCAACTCCGCCAACGGCAAGAACGGCGACGCGCCCGAGCGCGCCAAGGACAAGAAGGCCAAGTCGCGCAAGGGCAGCAAAGAGGAGTCGGGCGCGTCTGCGAGCACGTCGCCGTCGGAGAAGACCACACCGTCGCCCACGGACAAGGCGGTGGGCGCGTCGCCGGCGGACAAGGGCGGCGGGCCGCGGGGCGACTCCTGGAAGTACAGCACGGACGTGAAGCTGAGCCTCAACATCCTGCGCGCCGCCATGCAGGGCGAGCGCAAGTTCATCTTCGCCGGCCTGCTGCTCACCAGCCACCGGCACCAGTTCCACGAGGAGATGATCGGCTACTATCTGACCAGCGCGCAGGAGCGCTTCAGTGCCGAGCAGGAGCAGCGGCGCCGTGATGCCGCCACCGCGGCCGCCGCTGCCGCCGCTGCCACGGCCAAGCGGCCACCGCGCAGGCCCGAGGCTGAGGGCGCACCGGGCTCTGAGCGCTCCTCCCCGGGCCCTCCAGCCGGGCCACCCACGCAGCTGGTGCTCAAGTTCAAGGAGCGCCCGAGCCCAGGTCCAGCGGCGGGCACGCGGGCGGCACGGGCAGCGGCGGGCGGCTCGGCCTCCCCAGGCCTAGGTGGCGGGGGTGCGCGGCGCCCTGGTGCCAGCGGACCGGCCCCCGGGCGCAGCCCCCCGGCGCGCCAGAGCATCATCCACGTGCAGACAGCGGGAGCGCGGGACGAGGCGTGCGCTCCGGCCGTGGGCGCACTGCGGCCGTGTGCCACGTACCCGCAGCAGAACCGCTCGCTGTCGTCACAGAGCTACAGCCCGGCACGTGCCGCCGCCCTGCGCACGGTCAACACGGTGGAGTCGCTGGCACGCGCCGTGCCCGGGGCCCTGGCGAGCGCGGCGGGGGCGGCCGGCGCGGCCGAGCCCAAGTCGCAGACCTACACCAACGGCTTCGGGGCCACGCGCGACGGCTTGGAGTTTGCCGACGCCGACGTGCCGGCCACGCGCTGGAACGGTGAGTGTGGCCGTGGCGGGCCGGGCCCGGCGCAGCGGCGCTGCCAGCGCGAGAACTGCGCCTTCTACGGGCGCGCCGAGACGGAGCACTTCTGCTCCTACTGCTACCGCGAGGAGCTGCGGCGGCGCCGCGAGGCGCGCGGGGCCCGGCCCTGAGCCGCGCGCCCGGCGGCTCGCCTAGGAAAGGACTGCTTTCCATTCTGTCGGTGTCTTTTTTTACGTGCCCTGGTCACCCGGAAGGCCGGCGACCCCCGTGTCAGTGCCGTGTGCGTGTTCGGTCAAACGTTCCTACTGGTGCCTGAACACTGACGCCACTCAGGTAGTAGAAGGATAGGAGACAAGTCATACCGTCGGCAGTGGGTGTGCTAGCTAGCGTCTGCCTCGTTCCGTGGAATCTCATAGCCATTGCAAGAGTATTTTTGTTCCGAAATAAAGAAATTTGCAGCCCTTTGTTTTTAGAAGGGAGTGTTTTACATGCTTTTTTTTTTCCCTCCCCCTAACCCAGCGACTGACCTCTTCCGTGCAGCGGTCCCCCGTGTATGCGCTCGGTACCACCCAGGACGCCGGCGGCGGCCCCTCTGCCGTGGGCGCCACCTGCTTCCCCTCCCGGGTCCCTGGAGGAGGGGAGGCAAGTGGCCCCCTGCTGACGCCCTGGTGGTCCCTGAGGCCCATTAGGAACACACACGGCTCCATCTCCATACGCAAAGCCACCTCCCAGAGCGCCCCGCTCCACCCCGCCTTGAGCGACTCTCACACTGCCATCCAAGCCGCGGGCGCCGGTAGGCCGGGCACCGGACAACCTACCTCGCAGGGCGCAGTGAGGGGTAGCGACCGCCCCGGTGCCGGGCAGCTCCAGTGACAGCAGCTTTCCAAAGACACCTGGGGCCCACACCGCAAAGTCCTGAACTCGCTAATCCGAGCCACCCCTGTACGAGCAAAGACGCCGGCCTGCTCACACTTCTCCTTTGAAGGCACTTCCGACTGTGGACTGTCGCCGCAGGGCCCCCAGGAAGTGGTGACCGGTGCCAGCCCGCGCCCCCCCAGAGAGGCGAGGAATTGACCCTTTGGTCACTGTGTAAGCCCCCCCCAGGCTGCTTCCAAACCCAGCTGCACCTCTTTCTGAAGGGGAGGAAGCCCACCCCAACCCCACCCGCATCTGTCCGGGTTCAGCCAGGTACAGGGGTGCCACACGCCCATCGGGGGTCCCCTCCGCAGGCCGGGGACCACCCTGCCCGTGGCCCCATCCCACACGGAGGGGGGGCAGCCCCCTCCCTGAGCGGTCTCTCTTTTTGGTGCCTCCTACATTTCTTGAGGAAAAACAAAATGTGTCCTTAGCCACCCCGTTTTGCGCAGCAATAGGCAGCCTCTCCTTTCCAAGATTACCTCCGAGATCACGGTTCTGGGTCCAGGGCACCGAGGAGTTAACCCCGCCTCGCTGAAGAGCGCGCTGGTTTCCAAGGGAACGCGGAGAACATGGGGCAAATCCTCGCTAGCAAAAGAGTAACCTAAACCCCGGGAGGAGAGCCTTAGGGGAGCCCGAATGACCCCCAAACAGGAGGAAGCGCCCAGCTCCGCTGAGCGCACGCCCCCGGGAAGGGCCGCGGGCAGAACATCTCTCTTCGCCGGAGCTCCTCCCACAGAAGGGTGCTCCCTCCCGGGACACAAAGAGCAGCAAAAAATAATAAATAATTATAATTATTATATATATATATACATGGGGAGGGGAATTTTTTTACTTGTTTGAAGAATTATAATAAACTAATTTGAGTATCTCCTGTGAGTAATTGCTTTTTGTTTCTTATTCATTCCACAGCACGCGGCGTTTTTCGGTGACTCATTCCCGTTTTGCATAAGCACTTCCTGAAGCCAAGAAAAAATATTTATGAAATAGAATCTCTTAAGAAACGGTGTGGAAGGTTTACTTTTCATGCCCAACGATACTTCCTATGTGTGGTCGTTACCAACATGCACGTCCCCGATGCCGCGGGGGTTTCTTTTGTTACGTAGAACAACAAAAAAAAAGAGTCGTTTGAAAAAAAAAAAAACCTCTCATCGAGAAGGCCTGTGGCACAGGTTTGGGGGCTGGCTGTTCGCGTTGCACTTTGCCACCCAAAGCCGCGGGGCCACAGGCGGTGTTGCTTCGCGTGCAGACGCTGCCCTCGCCCCTCAGCCTTGGAAGGTCGCAGCCACCGACCTCGCAGCGCGCAACTACGCATTCCGGGGCCAGACCCGTCCGCACACAACGCCAAGGAGGCGTAGAGTAAATGCTTGCTCGTTTTTAATTTTTTTTTTCATGTAAAAGCAGCCAACCAGAAATTTCCAAAACCAGCTGTGCAAATATTGTATCTTTCTTGTGCTAAAAAAAACAAAACAAAACAAAAACAAAAACAAGACAAAAAAATCCCACAAAAACGAACAAGTTTTTTAAATAGGTAAATTGAGAATAAAGTCTGTTCAGTGTAATAAGAGAGGAAAACCTCCAAAATCAGGCAGTGCCATTTGTAGGTATCAGCAAATAATGGTCGCCTGGCCGATCGCCTTGAACATCAATGTCGCCTCCACTCCGACCCCGTCTTACAGGTGTGTGGTAAATAAGAACCAGAGAAGCAGCCACTGGCTAACCCGTAGGCTCCGCCTGCTCTGCGGGCTCCTCCCACCCCACAGGCCCCGCCTACTTTGTGGGCTCCTCCCATCCACAATCTGCTTCCACCCGGTGGGAGGTCCCTGACCGCTCAGTGTGGTCCCCAATTGGCTCCACGTACCAGGGCACCCCGGGGTGCTGCTCCTGGCTGACACGCTAGGACTCAGTCCACTTGTTTACAAAGAGCTGCTTCCTTTGGTGAGGGGTCTGGGTCTGTCCTCCCTCCAACCAGCATTAACGCGTGAGAAAGCCCGTGGTTCTGATAGGGTCCCGAGTCCCCTGCAGGAATAGCCCCCTCCCTGTGGCTCGGAAACCCCCTGTAGACTGGTCCCTGGCCAGGGGTCTCCCGGACCAAATTAGTTATCAGGCTGGGCGGGAATTAGTAGAAACTGCGTTGTTTACATGTGGGCCAAGAGGCTTCCCCCTCCCCCGCCACGTCCTCCTGTGACTTAGGGACCCTTTGTGGAGCAGGGAAGGGGAAGTGGATTGTGGGGGCTGGAGAATAGAAAGGAAACCAGTCCCAGTTCTAGAAAGGTCACGAGCCTCACCTTCTGGCACATTCTGGACTATGCTGTGTGGCTGGCCCTACAGGTGGCCGACCTTCCTGGAATCTGATCTGGCCACATGTCCCTGTCCAGGAAGGTCGGATGTCTCCAAGGATGACAGCAAGTTCCTGAAGGAGCCCAGGTACCTCTAACCCCGAGTGGAGGTTACCCACATAACTTAGTTCCCATTTCCTGGGTATAAGACTTATTTTAATTCTATGTTATTAGAGAAAGGTGTTTTTAAGTGTATGCGGTCTGTAGATTTTACACTACATTATGCTGAAATTTTACAAGCCAAGTCGAAACTGTACGATAGAAATTATTTTTCTATTATTTTCAGAAGATGCCACAGAGCACTATTTTGTGCCCTGACCTTGTCACAGAGCTGTCCCCTCAGAAAGGTGACTTTTGGGCGGTTGGGGCTGCTTTGCGGGCTCGTGGGGTTGACATGCTTTTTGCTATTTGTTCAGATCCCCCCGGGACTCGAGAACATTTAAGTGTCTTTTCTTTCTTCATGGAGAGCATGATTTCTTTATCAGTCACGGATTTCTGTACTACACCTTTTCCTCATCAATGAATACTTTATACCCACCAAGGTCCTGTAGACTTTCCCTCACTGGAGAAGCTCTGAAACGTTTGAGTCTGTTCCCTTACAAAGCTGTTTTCCAAAGTGATTGAACTAATTCCAGTAGCCACCACAAGGCTCTCCACGCCCCAAGGGACACACCTCTGGGTGTGAACATCTTCAGAGCCGCACCCACCATGCCTCTGGGGCGGGACCCTGGGTACCCAGCCCTCACCACCTCCCACCCCCAACCCGCAAGCATCCACAAGATTATTTTGCAAGCTGCTTCGCAAAAAGAAACGGGACCGACCAAATACCAGGCGTGGCAAGAGTAGGATTCCAGTTGTTCGTATGGAAAATGACACAAGAAGAAATAACAATACAAGAATCAACTGTTTTTGTGTGCTCACAGCTGGGAACCTACTTTTCCCCACCCTCTATCACTCTTCCTAGTTCAGAAACAAGGGCTGTAACTGCCGGTGGGGGAACGTCTGCCTGAGGGAGGACGAGGGTTTTGCCAACCCCCCGTGTGTGAGTTCCGCGCTCCGTGATCCGAGGAGCCCCACAGCTGGAGGGGACGGCAGCCACCCACACTCGGGGCGTCTTCCTTCACGACGGGCACCCTTCTTCCTCGGCACGGTGTGGACTGTCACGAATGGAGTTCCTTGAGGGTTTCCCCTGTTTTCCCTTTATAATTCTCCTAATAAACGGAGAAGAAAGCAGGCTCCCGTGGCTGAGCGAGCCCTGCCTCGTCAGAACTCAGCACCAGAGGTGGCCCAGCTCCACTGTCACCAGAGGGCAGGCGCACCACCGGGGACAGGGCCCAGCAGAGGTGGTGGCACACTTGGCACCAGGAAGCAGCCCCCCTCCTTCCAAAAAGCCTGAACGTGGTGGGTCTGTGGGGTCCTCTGAGCACTGCCCTCAGTTCGGGCCTGCCCGTAGATTCCCCTTTCTGCTCCGAGTGGCTGGTTCCGATGTGCCGTCCCGGGCGGCGGTGAGGGACAGACACACTCAGCTTCCTTCCCAGTTCATCCACGCCCTCCCCGCCCCATGCCCAGGCCGCAGCATGTTTCAGAGCCGCGCTGACCCGGGGCTGGCCAGGCAGGGCCGTCCTCGCAGGCAGGGTGGCGAGGGCCCCCCATTCACCCCAGCAGGCCCCCCAGGCTGTGTGGAGGACTTCCAGGGCACGAGCTTCGGAAGATTGTTATGACGGTTCCAAGCGGCGTCCAAAATGCTCTGTTAGCAGGGACACGGGTCAGGGCGTCCGTCCTCCAAAGCAGCCTTCACTCCCACTCTGCACCCGGCAGAGGAGAGACGGGGGGACAGCCCGCAAGGACCCCTCAGGGACAACTGGGTGTGTCGTCTGTGCGGCGTGAACACGGGTCACCCGACGATCCAGCCAGATGCACACACACCCGGGCACACACACGCCCGGGCACACACAGACACATGCCCAGGCACAGCACTGAAGCACGGAGCTCCCTCCGGGCTCGGCCTGCAGGGTCGCAGTTGCTGTTTGCTGAGCAAAGCCGTGCATTCATATGGGCCTTTTCACTGTTTGGTCTCGTAAAAAGTAATAATAAGAAGAAGAAGAAGAAATTAAAGTAGCAAAGGATTTAAAAAGGCATTTCTTCAAAAATAGAGGAAGTTTTCCACGAACCCGTAGTATGTATATATAAGATGATACCCTTTGCCTATACTTTTTAAAAAGATTTTATTTATTTATTTTTAGAGAGCGGGGAAGGGAGGGAGAGAGAGAGAAACATCAATCCGTTGCCTCCTGTACACGCCTCAACCTGGGATTGAACCCACAACCTGGCCATGTGTCCTGACTGGGAATTGAATCAGCAACCTTGTGCTTTGTGAACCCACGTCCAACCGACTAGGCTGCCCAGCCAGGGCTGTGAGTCGCCTTGTAACTTTGCTTATAGGAATGTATTCGCTTTGTTCCTTTAAACAGGCATTTGGCCTTTGGGAGTCGATGGCTATTGTTACTCTGTTCCCTTTCTTTTTCTTTTATTGGTTCATGTGGCTGCTTTGGGGATGATACACCTATACATGGCTTTGTGTTTCAACTTACTTGATGACAGTGGACCACGGAGAACATGTAGGCAAAGGGGGTCACAAATCAAAAGCTCTTTTCCGTTCTGACTCCGTGCAAATACTGCCCCCGACCTTGGAGGAGGAGCCCATTGGGAGACCCGTCTGTGGTGGTTGTAGACTGTTATAGCACTAAAGCCAGTGTTTGAAATACATAGCATCGCTTCCATCGTGGGGGACTTCCAGGAGTGATGGCTGAACAATTTATAGAAAACTGTTGTAAAACTTTCTTTTATGCAAGAGGATTGCAAGTCCAAATAGTTCCATCATCTGTAGCACTTGGCTTTTCTGTCACTCGATCCACAGGGAAACTGATGAAATTAACACTTTTGAACCTGGCTGGTGTGGCTCAGTGGACTGAGTGCTGGTCTTAGAACCAAAGAGTCACTGGTTTGATTCCCAGTCACAGCCCATGCCTGGGTTGCGGGCCAGGTCTCCAGTAGGGGGCACCAGAGAGGCAGCCACACACTGGTGTTTCTCTCCCTCTCTTTCTCTCTCTCTTCCCCCTCTAAATATAAAATCTTTAAAAAACAAAATAAAATTTACTGTGAAAAGAAGAAATTAACACGTTTGTAAGTATTTGATGGCTTTTTCATTCGTGGATTGGCTGTGGATTTCCACTCATGCAGGTTAATCTGTGGAGGAGATGCACTGGTCCGTGACAAAGGTAAGAGGCTCTCTCAGAGGGCTGAGGGTGTCGTCCCAGGCCACAGGCCTGTCTCAAGCAGGTGACGCAGCCAGGACTTGGTCACAACCATGCGGAGCGCCTGCCCCCAGGGCATCACCCTGCTGGGCACTGGGGAAGATGTGACTGCC